ATATTTGTTTTTAAATGGTTTCACTTGTCACATAGAACATGTCTATTTTGTGCATGAGAGAGGTACCATCTGACCAAACTTGGTTATCACCTCCTCTTGGAAGCCTGCCATGATTCCTAGATGGAGCCAGACACCCATCCTCTCCTTCCCAAGTAGTTTGTGTATCTCTGTATCATAGCACTAATCATATCCAACTGCATTTGTTAGCTCCCTTGTCCATTCCGCCCATTATGCTAAATTTCTTGGGGGATGGGAATGAATACTTAGGACACATACCATGGCTGGCTCACAGAATGCTTTAATACATATTCACTGGTGGACTGATCGAAGATAATAACCCCCTACTCAATACCCTGCCTCAGAGATTGGCAACCCTTTCCTGTAAAGGATCAGATGATATTTTAGGCTTTGTGGACCATATGGTCTCTGTCACAACAATTCTACTGCACCACTGTGTTGTGAAAGTAGCCACAGATCATACTCAAATGAATGGGCATGGCTGTGTTCCATTAAAACTTTATGTATAGATACTGAAATTTCAACTTCATATCATTTTTATGTGTCACAAAAATATTCTTCTTTTAATTTTTCCCAGTGATTTAAAAACGTAAAAATCATTCTAAGCTCACAAGTGGCATAAAAAGAGGCAAGAGGCCAGATATTGCCCACGGGCCATAGTTTGAGGACCGTTGCCTTCCGCGATAGGCCTGCCTAGCAGTCCATAGTTCCTAAGGAAATGCTGCTGAAAGGGATAATTCACATCTATAACAGGTACTGAGTGATTTGCAGTATGCCTTTCAACAAATATGAAAACTGAGGTAGTATCACAGAGCTCTATAAAGATGAAATGAGATAAGGAACCATATCATCACTGCAGGTTATGAAGGTTCATTTGTGAGGAACATGGAAGTATGAGTTTCCTGTTGATAATAATAACAATAATTAACATTGAGTACTTTTTTATGACTAAATTCTCTTCCATGAGCCTTCAATGAGGAATCCACTGAATTTTCACAACCATTCTATGAAGGAGGTTCTATTGTTATCCAACCTTTTTTTGAAGATGAGAAATTAAAGTATGAAAAAATTCCCCAAACCTAACTAAAAAGTGGGGCAAAGGTGGGGTTTCAGTCACAGGCAGTCCAACTCCAGAGCCTGCACTTTAACCACTGAATACAGTGCCTCTCAAGAAGGTGACACAGACAGAGACAAAACTTCCAAATACTTCTCTAAATTTTCCCAAGATTGGAAGAGGGAGCTGAATGGGAAGGATTGGCAAGGAATGCAACGTCAACTACTCCCCCCGTTGGAAACCCTATGATCTGGACATCTATGAAGATGCAGTCCAAACCACCAGCTTACGAGCTAATGCAGAGGCCTAGGAGGAGCTAGTCTCCACAGCTGGACCGTTCTGAGAACTGACGTATGCTGTTGGGTAACTAAGACAGGTTACTGCCCATCTCACATGTCTAAAGGTGGACCAGGTAACAAACACCAAGACATAGTAATCGTCAGTACTTCTACTTAAAGAGATCAATTATTTTCTTATGAGAGTAAAGGCCAATTAACATCTGGGTGATGGAGATATAATGTATGTATATGTTAACACACTTGGTTTTTTTTTTAAAAAAAAAGACTAGTCAGACATGCACCCCAATGTTCACAGCAGCATTATTTGCAACTGCCAAGATATGGAAGCAACCTAAGTGCCCACTGACAGATAAATAAAGAAGATGTGGTACATATATACAATAGAATACTACTCAGCTACAGAAAAGAACAAACTTTTGGCACTGGCAGCAACATGCATGGACTTGGAGGGCATTACAATAAGTGAAATCTCAGACAAAGAAAGACAAATATTGTATGATATTATCACTTATATGTGGAACCTAAAAAACACAACAGGGCTTTCCTTGGTGGCGCAGTGGTTAAGAATCCGCCTGCCGATGCAGGAGACACGGGTTCGAGCCCTAGTCTGGGAAGATCCCACGTGCCACAGAGCGACTAAGCCTGTGCGCCATGACTACTGAGCCCGTGCTCTAGAGCCCGCGAGCCGCAACTACTGAGCCCGCATGCTGCAACTAGTGAAGCCCGAGCACCTAGAGCCCGTGCTCCACAACAAGAGAAGCCACCACAACGAGAAGCCCGCGCACTGCAATGAAGAGTAGCCCCCCCGCTAGCCACAACTAGAGAAAGCCCGCGCACAGCAACGAAGACCCAACACAGTCAAAAATAAATTAAATAAATAAATAAATAAAACCACAACAAACTAGTAAATATAATAAAAGAGAAGCAGACTCACAGATACAGAGAACTAACTAGTGGTTACCAGTGTGTGTGGGAGCAATATAGGGGTGGAGGAGTGGGAGATACAAACTACTGGGTGTAAGACAGGGTCAGGGATGTATTGTACAACACGGGGAATATAGCCAGTATTTTGTAATAACTGGAAATAGAAAGTAATCATGAAACACTGTATAAAAAAAATTTTAGGGGCTTCCCTGGTGGCACAGTGGTTGAGAGTCCGCCTGCCAATGCAGGGGACACGGGTTCGTGCCCCGGTCCAGGAAGATCCCACATGCCGCGGAGCGGCTGGGCCCATGAGCCATGGCCGCTGAGCCTGTGCGTCCAGAGCCTGTGCTCCACAACAGGAGAGGCCACAACAGTGAGAGGCCCGCGTACCGCAAAAAAAAAAAAAAAATTTAAATTAAAAAATAGAAAATAAATTTTGAAGAAGACCAATCCACACAGCACAAGTGAGTCTACTCTGGCCCATCCAAGTTCAGCTCTGCTAGCTTCAGGCAGCCATATAATTGTCTACTCTTCCCAGACTGGGCCAATTTTCAACAGTTGTGTTAATAGCCCAATATTTCCTGATAAACACAGCTGAGTTCAGCAGCTGGTCCTCCATGGAATGCATGCAGGTGTACACAGCATAATAAGTAGAACACCTCCCACAGTTAGATCAATGTGTGTGTCTGGATTTCATAAAAAGTGGGTAGGATAAGAATGGGCACAGATGTACATATAAAGTCAGCTGAGCTGCCACAGAGCCCTGAAAAGTAGTGAGAGAACCAACTCCAAAGAGTATTGCTAAATTATAGCATGCCTGGGAACCAATGAACTCAGAGAGCACCAAGTGCTTCCTTTTGGCGAACGGTATGAAAGAAAGGTGCCAGTCCAAACATAGAACATCTTTTGCCAGGTCCCTTTGAATGCCATGAAGGGGCATGATAAATGCGTAAGAATTTTACAGAGCTCAAACATACTATAAAATTTTCTGGCCCAATTCATTACCTGTCTTCACAGAACTGAAGCAGTCCCGCCTCAGGGTAAACAATGTGCCCTCCAGAATCACAAAAAAGAGTTCCCCGGATCCACAGACAGGTATCAGAGGATCCATAAATACCCCCAGTTGGCATGCCTATTAGTTGGCATGCATATATTCTGGGGGAAAGGATTCAGAGTATTCATCAGAGACTTATGCAAAAGCTCCATCACTGTATTCTCCCGCGTGTTCTCAAACAGGGCTTATCAAGGTTTCTACCCCTCGACTGCACAACAGGCTGTAAGTCTTCGGGTATGCTTGACCAAAGGTGACTTGGGAGCTCACAGCTATCAACCAGTCCCTCCTCAATCAAGTTTGAGAGTGTGAAAGGACACTAGGGTGTGCAGGACACCCTAGTCCATTCACTTTCTCACCCTCCTAAGAAACTTGTTTTAATTTTTTCTTTTGGCCATGCCACAAGGCTTATGGAATTTTAGTTCCCCAGCCAGGAATCAAACCCAGGCCCTCAGCAGTGAGAGCGCAGAGTCCTAACCACTGGACTGCCAGGGAATCCCCATAAACTTGTTTTCGATCTCCTTTCTTTTTCAGCCAAATGTCTTACTTTTTATTTGACTGAAAAAATTGAAGTTATCAGAAGAAAAGTTCCACAAATTCTCATGTCCTCGTCTACCCACCTTTGGGCATTGACACTCAAATACTCTCTCTTCCCACCCGTTATTGTGGGTGAGCTATTTGTGCTCCTACCTCAAGCAACTATTCCATCTTGAGCATAAGATTCCATCCTTTCTCAAGGATATCACGCAAACAAATTTCTTTCCTTTCTCGCAGAGCATCACTTTCTCCTCTCTTTTGGATCATTTCCATTAGCATACAAACAAGCTGTTATTTCTCTCATCCTAAAACACACACACACACACACACACACACACACACACACACACACACACAACTTCTCTGGTCCCCATTTCTCCATTTTCATGTTTCCAAGGAGTCTAACCTGGGACTTCCCTAGTGGCGCAGTGGGTAAGACTCCAAGCTCCCAAGGCAGGGGGCCTGGGTTCGATCCCTGGTCAAGGAACTAGATCCCACATGCATGCCGCAACTAAGAGTTCACATGCCACAACTAAGGAGCTTGTAAGCCACAACTAAGGAGTCCACAAGCTACAACTAAGACCTGGTGCAACCAAATAAATAAATAAATGGTTTTTAAAAAACAAGAGCCTAACCTGTGGCAATGTCCAAAATTAGATTTCTGGTGTTTACTGCCAAAATACTCTCCCCTCCATCTTCCTCATCTCACCTGATGATAGCTGCATCCAGTTTATCCAGCTAAAAACTACTGAATCATCTTAAACTCCTGTCGCTTATACCCACGTCTAATATGTCAGAGAATCTCGCAACTGATTCCTAGTTATCATTCAAAGTCCAGATTAGGCTCCTATACCTCTTCCTGAAACTACCTGGGATATTTCTGACTTCACAGAGCTCTCTCTTTTTCTACATATCTCTACCAGCACTTCCACTGTATACTCTAATGCTTGTGAATATTATCTTCTGGGATTCATTACAAATATGAACTATAGCTCAGACCCCTCCACGGCACTGAACACACTAGTGCATATTTAGTAAGGGCTCCACAAACTTCATTCTGAGCGAATGATTTTTCTGCAAAGATTCCAACAAAATCAGTACAGCAAACAATACTTACTTCCATTAGTTAGTTGTGAAATAGTCAGGTTTCCTAAATTTCCTGCATTTGCAAAGCTATCCGTCATGTCTCCAAAAACCAGCATCGTGAGGGGCAGTCCGGCTCCGTGGATGATGGCGGCCACAGTCCCCAACACCATATACAACTTATCAAGCCAATTCGAATAGCGAAACTAAAAAATGAGAAAACACAGAGAAGAGGAACAATTAGCACAATTTCATGGATGATTAGCTCTACTTTCCAAATATATCTGAAATCTAAACAGTTCTCAGACTACTACTGCGACCACGTTGGTCTGATAACCTAATTAGAAATAGGCATTTGGGACTTCCCTGGTGGCACAGTGGTTAAGAATCCGCCTGCCAATGCAGGGGACACGGGTTCAAGCCCTGGTCCGGGAAGATCCCACATGCCACGGAGCGACTAAGCCTGTGCGCCACAACTACTGAGCCTGCGTGCCTCAACTACTGAAGCCCACATGCCTAGAGCCCATGCTCTGCAACAAGAGAAGCCACCGCAATGAGAAGCCTATGCACTGCAACAAAGAGTAGCCCCCGCTCGCCACAACTAGAGAAAAGCCCACGCACAGCAATGAAGACCCAATGCAGCCAAAAATAAATAGATAAATAAATAAAAATAAATGTATTGAGGTAATTTAAAAAAAGAAAAGAAAAGAAATAGGCATTTGTTTCTTTTTTTGAGTTCTGACCTTCTTCTTTATATTGGACTCAGTCTGTCTTCTTTTTTTAAATTGAAGTTTAGTTGATTTACAATATATTAGTTTCAGGTGTGCAACAGTGATTCAACAATTTTATGGATTATACTCTATTTAAACTTATTATAAAATATTGGCTATATTCCCTGTGTTGTACAATACATCCTTGTAGCTTACTTATTTTATACACAGTAGTTTGTACCTCTTTAATCCCCTACCCCTATCTCGTCCCTCCTACCTTCCCTCTCCCCACTGATAACACCAGTTTGATTTCTGTATCTGTGAGTCGGTTTCTGGTTTGTTATCTTTATTTGTTGTATTTTTTAGAGTCCACATGTAAGTGATAACATCCAGTATCTGTCTTTCTCAGGTCTGACTTATTTCACTAAGCATAATACACTCTAGATCCATCCATGTTGTTGCAAATGGCAGAACTTCATTCTTTTTTATGACTGAGTAGTATTCCACTGTGTGTGTGTGTGTGTACCACATCTTTATCCATCCATCTATTGACGGACACTTAGTTTGCTTCCATATCTTGGCAATTGTAAATAATGTTATTAAGAATACTGGGATGCATATATCTTTTCAAATTAGTGTTTTTCTTTTCTTTGGATCTATACCCAATAGTGGAATTACTGAATCATACAGTGGTTCTATTTGTAGTTTTTCGAGGAACCTCCATACTGTTTTCCATAGTGGCTGCACCAATTTACAGCCATACCACCTTGAACATGCCAGATTTCATCTGCCTTCTTCTCTTACATATGCGGGTTTCATGAGAAGCATAGGACATTCTGGGAAATTACAAAAATCTATAATGACACGATAACAGAAAGGCAGCATTTGTGACTCTGATTTCCAAGAATGGAAGCGACTTTTCAGCTCAAGATTTTTCAACCCAGAAAAATCACCATTGAGGAAACATGTGTTGTGGCTTTAAAAAAGTGGCTTGGGTCAAAGATCTGCTGCCTAACAGCATTAGCACAAATGTGAAATGATGTTAATGTAATTAGGTCTCCATAGTAAGAAGGAAGAGGAAAGGAATGAGTTAGATGCATGCTTCCCAGAGACCAGTACAGATGTGCATAATCTCTTTAACTGCAGGCAAATTGAAAGAAAGAAGAGAGGGAAGGAAGGGGGGGGGGCGGGAGGAAAGAAGGAAGGAAAGAAAGAAGGATTTGTAATCAAATGAGCTTAAATTAATGACGTATTTTCCATAATCTAAAAACATCCTATTTACAAATTAAAACCTTTAAGGGAGAACACGTTTTGCCTTTTTTTTCGTATTTCATTGAAACACAGGCTAAATTTTGCCACTATTTACTTTGTCTTAACTAAGTATTCATCCACCTAAGGAAAGAAAAGAAAGGAGTTAGAGATGAGCAGAAACCATTTAGTATCTAGTATCTTCTATCAGAGACTATAAAATGGACAAAGTATCAAATTCCTCAGTAGAGGAAGAGAAGACGGTTGATACACAAGGATTTCCCCTCATCACCAACCCCAAGGACATTTTACCTCGAAAACTAACACTGGCTATTATAATAAAAGCAAGCAGGCCATGAATATAAATATTTACTAAATGCCTGCTCAATGACCGAAAAAAGCCAGAAATAAATACCAAAGTTACAACTCCTGCTTCCAGAGTGTTTAAAGGATGGAGGCAAAGCAAAAAAAGTATATTCAATGTATATTCTGCACGCCTTGACAGCATGGTACATACAGTGTAGGGCAGATACAAAACTGAGCGAATGGGTCATTGCCTCCTTTGTGGAAAAGCTTCATAGAGGTGATGCTTCCTCCCAGCTTTAGCAGTTTAGCAAGGGCTTAAAAGCAAGGAGGAAGGCATTCCAACCAGAAAGGACGCTAAGTTGAGGCAAGAACGATCACAGTGTGCCCAGAGAAGACTGGGGTCTCCCAAGCTTGGGGTGCGAGGTATAGAAGCAGCAGGAAGAAGCTAACTGACCAAGAAGGACCCTTCACTGAGACAAGGCAAACCAGAATCGGCAAAGATATGGGGGAAGGGGACAGAGAAGGGGCAGAGAAATCTCATTTGGTCCTGTTTCATGCCCATCCAGGCATACGAGGAGAAAATTCAGTTTGAGGAGTACTTTTGTGACACTAGCGTATGTAGCAGAAGTCATGGGCGTGGACAAGATCATCTAGCAAGAAATAATGAGTGGGATTAAGAACAATTATGGAGGGGCTTCCATGGTGGCGCAGTGGTTGAGAGTCCGCCTGCCGATGCAGGGGACACGGGTTCGTGCCCCGGTCCGGGAAGATCCCACATGCTGCGGAGCGGCTGGGCCCATGAGCCATGGCCGCTGAGCCTGCGCGTCCGGAGCCTGTGCTCCACAACGGGAGAGGCCACAATGGGGAGAGGCCCGCGTATCGCAAAAAAAAAAAAAAAAAAAGATATTTATTAAGCACCAAATACGGATCAAGCTTGGTTCTAGGTACTGGCACAAGTACCTAGTAAGACAAGCTTTATGAGGACAGGTAGCTTGAGTAAGACAAGCTACCTGTCCTCATAAAACTTACATTACATTTTACTAGTATGCAAACAGTACAAGAGGGAATAGACACATTCAACATTCATTCAATATCTAAGTACCTATTAAAGTTCCAGGCACGGTTCTAGGCACTTGGAGCACAGCAAGGAAGGAATCACACAAAACCACCTGCCCTCATGGAGCTTAGATTCAGAAAGAAGACAAACGTAAACAAGAAATCAGACAGTGGTTAAGTACTCAGAAGACATATCACACAGGGTGGTGTGCCACAGTGACAGGAAGCACCAGTGGGCTCAGACTGGCTGGGCGGGGAAAGTCTCTATGAAAAGGCAACATCTGAGCTCAGTCCTCAGTGACAGGAAGGAAAAAGTCATGTGATAATCTACGGACAGAGGTTCCAAGCAGAAAGAACAAATGCAAAGGTCCTGGGATGAATACAAGCTCAGAGGGTTTCAAGGACCAAACATAATTACCACTGTGGCAAGAAGAGGGTGAAGGAGATCTGCCTGCCGTGAAATCAGAGGTGAGACAGAGGTCAGATTATGGAGGGTATTGTGTAGCCAGAGGAGGAAGTTTGGTTTTACTGTCAACTTCCCATCTAAGCGTAAAGGAAAGGCATTCAAGGGTTTGAAGGATGGAACGGAGGTGATCTGATGTGGCTATTGTGGGTAGAACAAGTTTTAGAAGCGCAAACATGGAGGAGGGCAACTAGGAGGTAAGACAGTGGTTGAGAGAGTGAAGTCTTGACCAGGTATAGGAGGGCAGAAAAATGCTCCGGCTTCCAAGCATGTGCACGTCCTATCCCCAGGGACCTGTGAATGTGTCCTCACGTGGCAAAAATGACTCTGCAGACATGAAGGATACTGAGATGAGCAAACTATCCTGGATTACCCAAGTGGGCCCAATGTCATCATAAGGGTCCTTATCAGAGGGAGCCAGGGGGATCAGAGTCAGTAGTAGGAGAAATGCTAAGCAAGAGGGTGGAGTGAAGCAAGGAAGGGGCCACGAGTCCAAGAAGGCAGGAAGCCTGTGGAAGCTGAACAAGGAAGGAAACAGATTCTCTCTTAGAGCCTCCGGAAGAATCCAGCCCTGCTGGCACCTTGACTAGCCCAGTGAGACTTTGGGCCCCAGAACTATAAGACAATACATTTGTGTTGTTTTAAGCCACTAAGTTAGCGGTATTTTGTTCCAACAGCAATAGAAAATGAATACGCAACGTCAAAAAATGGATAATAAGGAACAATGGCCAAGCAAGAAGGATCGTAAGCGGGGGTGGAAGACATCCATTTGAGTTTACAGCGTTAGAGGTGGGAGTCCACCCGGATGACAAACCGAAGGTCTTTGTCCACAGTGTCATTTACTAAAGGAAGGAAGGGATGAAGGTTGTTGGAACTGAAGAGGTCAAAGAATGTGGAGCTTAGGAGGCATTAATAAGGTTACCAAAATAGAAGAATGATGAGAGCATAGGCGAACGAAGTAGAAGCAATCAAACGACAAGGTCCTCAATGGAGGAGCAAAAGTAACTAGAAATCAGTAGAGGGTATCACTGAAAATGGATAGAAGATATTATCATTGTCCAGAACCAAACTCAAACAGGGATGGAGTTTTGCATGAAAACAATTTGGAAGCGGTCACGTGAAACTAGAGAGCTGCCAACACTATCGCTGGCCCCTGGGATTAGGGGTTGAGAACTCTAAATTCACAGGCAAAGATGACACAAGAAAAGAACCGAAGAACTGGGAGGAAAATGAGCAGACTGTGGCATCACAGATGCAAACAAGAGGAATGAATACGGTACACAGGGTCAGGTGCTACTTAAAGGTCGGGACAGACTGTCCACTGCATTTGGTGAGTGTTGGAGAAGCCAAATTATAATACGTTAAGAAGTGATTTGGAAGTGAAACAGAGAGCAAAGGCAGCTCCTATTTGTGAAGCTAGAGGAGATGGCTTTAAGGAGGGCATTAGTGACATTAAAGACAGGTGACCTGTAAATACCAATTGGAAAGATCCAGTTCAGAGGGAGAGATTGAGGATACAGAAGAGAAAGGATAGTAATAATAATAACGTAAGGTCCTTGAGAAGGCAGAGGATATAGAAGCCAAAATACAGTGTTCAAGTGGGTGATTAGATTTAAGAACCAAATGCTTCCTGTTACAATAGGAGGGAAGGAAGAAGCAACTGATCCAGGTACAGGTATGTTTGTTAGACTGGGAGAGAAGAGCTGAGGAACTTCTTTCAGGTGGCTTCCATTTGGTTTGTGAAATAAAAAAAGAGGTCATCCACCAAGAGTTGGGGTTAGGTGGGGAGAAGTGGGAAATCTGAATAGAGTTTTAACATACTCAGCGAGAAGAGAAGGAATAGGGTTGCTGTGTGGGATACAGCCTATTGTGAAATTTTTCTCCAGCACCAATCAGACGTTGGGGTTCAGGCACCAAGAAAGCAGATGGCTGATTTTGCCTGGGCTGGGCATGACAAGTGACAGGTGAAAGGAAGTTTATAGTTCGGGCAAGAGTATCACTAAAGTGATGACCATTGCTCTAAACTGATAAGAAAGGGAATGGGGGCTTCCCTGGTGGCGCAGTGGTTGAGAGTCCGCCTGCCGATGCAGGGACACAGGTTTGTGCCCCGGTCCGGGAAGATCCCACATGCCGCGGAGCGGCTGGGCCCATGAGCCACGGCCGCTGAGCCTGCGCTCCGCAGCGGAAGAGGCCACAACAGTGAGGGGCCCGCGTACCAAAAAAAAAAAAAAAAAAAGAAAGGGAATGGAAACAGGAAGGGGCTGATTGGGAAACTGATGGGTCAGGGGACTCAAGGTCCAAGGAAAACAGTGAGCAGATTGAACAGAGAGGAGATGGCTGGCTAATTCAGTCTGGCTGCTTCAAAATGGTACTTTGGAGGTAGAACAGTTTCAAGCAACAGCAAAGTGCAGGATGTGAGAGGGTGGCTGGAATAAAGGGGAGGGAAAAATTACTGCCGCTGTGAAGGTCAAAGAGTGGTTATCCTTATAACACCATAGAAGTCACCCAAGATAGTAGGAGTATCACGGGTGGAGAGGGAGACACTGAACAAGGTGGTAAAGTCTCCAGTGAAGAATGACCAAGTGGCCGGAAAACAACAGCATCAACAAAGAACCCTTCAATTCCAGAGAAATAAAATGTTAACCAACCATATACTATCATAAAGGATTAACGTTGTTAAAAGCTCTGGACGTAGAGTAAGCAGATCTTGGCAAAATTCTGGGCCTTTCCCCTTACTAGCTATGTGACTGTGTGACTGAATACATTGCTTAAACCTCTCTTGAGTCTGTTTCATCATCTGGACCATCAGAATAACACAAGTTCCTACATCACAGGGTCACTGTGAGGATGAAGTTAAATAATACACATGGGTGCTTAACAGATGCCTGGCACAGAGGAAGCACTTAACATTGCCACCTATTCTCTATTTAGAGAAAAAATTAATGTTTCAATAAGATACATAAAGTGGAAAGATCAGAGCTGAATCTGTAGCAAGGGTGTTTAACCTTTAAGGAGCGCTTTGTGTAAGAAGTGTAGCCCAACTTGTATCGCTCCCGCCCCAATTTCCAGTTGTCCCGTTTCCTCACTTGTTTTAGATTTTATTTTGTATTTCTGTAAACGTTGAAACAAAGCCTGACAGAAATAAAATAAAGGCCAGTAGAAAAATCTGAATCTATTCCTTACCTCTTTTTCATCATTTTCTCAAGACTGCCAAAAAGTCTTCTACTAGAAAAAAGTTAACAGGGATGGTGTACAGAAAACAGTGAACGCTGCAAGCCTGAGACTGCATTCAAGGTTAGCCCTTGGCTGGCATCTAGAATTTGGATTTTGGGGAGAGTAACCATCACCCTAACTGACAAAAGTGGCCAAACTATTTGTACAAACAATGTGCTTTATGCTGAAGGTCTGCCTTCCTTCTGCGAGTCTGGAATTTTGGTACACGCTGCGCCTATGTGATCAGCCCCCAGTCAAAAACCCTTGGGCACTGAGTCTCTAACGAGCTCTCCTGACAGACAGCATTTCACACGTGTTGTCACAGCTCATTGCTGGGGGAATAAAGTTGACTCCATTGGGACAAGACATTGGGGGCTTCTCTTGGACCTCTCCCTCTTTCCTTTGCCCATTGCCGATTTGGCTGTAAATCTTAGCCACGAGTATGGCAATATGCCGAGTCCTGTGAGTCCTCCAAGTGAATCATCAAACCTGGGGTTCTTGGAAACCCCCAACACATATCAGTTTTTGTCTTAGCTGGAAATTTTTATGCATCAGCAATGCCAACAGCATCAGCATTTTACTGTTAAATGTTCTTAATATGTCCCTGTCTATATGCGTTTTATACACAAGTTCACAGTTAACTATGTCAGCTCTTCAAGAAAAAGGCATGAGAAAGCGCCACTTAAATAGTACAGCTTTTCCTCAAAAGACTTAGAACATATTCCTTCTATGCCATCCTGAGCGCTGTGATTTACAACATGAATTTCCTAGGTCTGAATCTTGGCCCTGCTGAGGATTCCTGGGCAAGTTAGTAAGACTCACCTCACTTTCTCTATCTGGAAAATTAGAATAATAATAGTATCTATCTTCAAGGGAGTTGTAAAGATTAAATGCGTTCATATAGGAAGTACTTAGTGCAACACATGGCATAAAGAGCTGTATTTATGTTATAATTATTAGCCTTCAAACTCCAGATGTTTATTCTTTTGTGGGCACAATTGTATTGATAGTATTACTTCTATATATTAGGTCTGTTAAGTTTTCTAAAACATAAGACTGATTTTTTCAATTTAAGTTACTTGTAAAACAAAATTACAAAAGACAGAAATATTTTGGTCTCCAAAGAATAGAACGGAAATTAAGTCTTGGCAATAAACCCTATTTTAACATCAAAGCTTCTTTTAGTACAAGAATATAAGAATGAACTCTAAAACAAATAAAAACTGTCACTTGATTATTCAAGTAGTCCTTCTGAGAATGACCCAAGTGCATAGCCTCATTTCCCCAAAATTCCAAAGAGAGTGGAAACAGACTCAAAGGTGGAACTTCAGCAAGAGCAACTGCAGTGCAGGAAGATGAAGTTCTTATAAGATAACCAGAGTGCTCGGTGTAAAAGGCAACACTTTTTTCCTGCCTATAAGCATTTTCTTGTTCAATTTACTAATATTCATTTTACAAGATGGATTACCCCCCCACACACACACATTTTAAAATTGTCTGGTGTGTTACGCCTGAATTACAAAGTGTGCACTACAAGACTTAATTGGTTCAGCAGTCTTCCAGGTTCTACTTGCACAGTTCACCTACATCTGCATTCTCAGGGGGAAAAAAAAAAAAGGATCCAGGTGGAGAGAGACCATCAACCAGCCTGTCTCAATCCAAATCTGATTAAAGAAAAGCTTCTAAGCAGCTACTGTGAAACCAGAAAATAAGATAAAGAATTAATTATATTCCGTGAAACCAGAAAATAAGATAATTAATTATAGTAAGGTTTTCAAATTCCAGATTTTCAGTTATTCAGCACAGAAGAATAATGCCATGTACTAAGTCATAGTAATAAATAATCCATTGCTAACTTCTATTATATGAGTGTCTGGGACTTTGACCGCAAACCGGCCAGGATTACGGCCCTTGTAGACAGGGCACCCCGTTCTTTCTTCGATCCACACTTCACGTGGCTGGTTTCCTCTATCTAGATGGCTGAGACCATCAATGGGAGAAGTGCTTGCATAGGTAACATATCACTGGCGACATAACTAACTAGGAGAATACTGAAATCCAGGCTAGGAAGGGTGAGTCTGGAGGCTCATGGTACACAGCAAGTTATGACTGGCATTCCCCTGAAAACAAACTAAATTAAACGAATTCATTTTACCTCTCCATTAACAAATACAAACAAATTTCTGTCCAAGAAAGTATTATACCAGATGAAATACCTCATTTCTAGATCAGGAGAAGTCAAATTTCCAAAGCACTTTGAATAGTGAATACATTCAAACTCACCACTGCAAAAGTACTGACAGTTGGTTTCTTTTCTTTCTTCTCATCTTTTTTACTGAAAAACCTAGCAATAGAATTACATAAAACTTTAAAAACTATATAAATCTTTAATTACCCAATTAACATAGAGCTTATATTTAATAACAAATAGGACAAAGAAACATGTCTACAATGTTATTAAAAAAACAGGTTATAATACGATCCCATTTATGAAGTTTAAGTATGTTTACATATACCTTAGAAATCTATACATGCGGTTATCACTGGGTGTTGAGATTTCTACCAAAATATTTTCTTCCTTGTGCCTTTGGTATTTCCTAATTTTCTATGGTGAATACACAGAGACACAAGACTTTTGCAATGAGAAAAAATAATACTAAAAAAGGAGAGCTTCCTGTTTTTCTTCTAATTAGAAAATCATTCATGCTCTCCAGAGTTAATCCCCTTACTTATCACCTGAGTAATTCTAGCAGCAGAGAGCTAGTCTATCTACCTGGATATTATCCTTAATCATTCCCTTTACCTAGTGGAGAGGAGCGGCAAACAGATGCAGGGCATAAATTACCCTGAGAAAGGTAATTAAATCACTTGCCTTGAGTAAATCTAATTCTGAAAAGATGTCTGGAGCCCTAAATGGACCATTAAGGCAATAAACGCAACCTAGAAAACCTGCCACCAAAAAAGATGGTTTGTAAACTGCACAAAAGCGGTCCTCAGGCAGAGACAGGAAGGTCAAGTATTTTGAGCGCAGATTCAAAACTCTGTAACTAGTTTTCTATTCTATGTAACTGCCACCCAGCATGTGAAAGCAAACCAACCAAAACTAGCCTCCGCATCTACATTTTCATATTTATAAAAGAAAGACTATTTCAGGGAAGAATTACATTATTTTTACACAGCTTTTCCAGTTCAAAAAGTAAATGCATCTTTGTTCTTTAGCTAAGCAAAGTCAAAGAGTTGAAGCAACTTCTAAAGAAAAAAGAATCCAGCGTCTACCCCATATTTGGCTTTGGAGTGAGGTTCGAGGGACATAAAAACACACAAAATACACAAACATAACTCTTCAGATTTGATTCCACCCTATTCCCAGTAAAGGTGTGGTTTCAGTATCCCTGGAATCAGGATGAGAGGAAAAAAAATAGTCATACATAATTGAGTTTTAGCTCTAAGCTTTTTATTTATTTTTTCATTCTCTAAAACTGCAGCTACTCTGAAGAATTTATAATGTTCCAGACACTGGCTAAGTAAACACTTCCCATACAGGAGCTCATTTAATCTTAATCTCTGTGAGGCAGGCACATTTTTGTCCTTCCTTTAAAGACAAGAGAACTGCAGGTGAGAAGAGTTAACTAATTTGTCCAAGGTCACACAGCTAGAACAAGGCCAAGATTGAAACTGCAAAGTCTAACTCCCAAACACCAGCCTATCTGGTGCAACCTCAGAATTCTGAGACGCTGCATTGCAAGGAAATGCACATATAAACTGACTCTCACCCCTCCTAGAAGACTCATTTATCCCCATCCGCTCAAACACAGTGCTGACAAATGGCAAAAGTCGCTTATCAAGCCTCATTTTAATAAAGAATCTTAACAAATACAAATATGCCAAATGGTACTACTACCCAAGCATTATACCTATTAGCAAAGCCACGTGCTTCTTTATAATTTCAAATATAGTTTAAAAAAAACTCACAGAAAAAGAAATAAGATTTATGGTTATTAGAGGGGGGAGAGGGGATGAGAGGCAGCTGGTCCAAAGGTACAAACTTCCAGTTATAAAATAAAGAAGTACTGGAGATGTAATGTACAAGAAGATGATTACAGTTAACACTGCTGTATGATATATATATACACATATATATAAAAGTTGAGTAGATCCTAAACGTTCTCATCACAATAAGAAAAAATTTTTCTTTTATCTATATGAGATGATGGACGTTAGCAAAACTTGTTGTGGTAATATTTCACAATATTTATAAGCCAAATCATACGCTGTACACTTTAAACTTACATGGTGTTGTAGGTCAATTATATCTCAATAAAACTGCTCAAAACTCAATAGACTATATATATATCTAAATATATAGTTTTATTAAGAACAGATTAAAATCAGTAATGGTGAGCACAATTTACTAAGAGCTACTTAACCAAAAAAAACAATTTCTAGGGCTTCCCTGGTGGCGCAGTGGTTGAGAGTCCGCCTGCCGATGCAGGGGACACGGGTTCGTGCCCTGCTCCGGGAGGATCCCACATGCCGTGGAGCGGCTGGGCCCGTGAGCCATGGCCGCTGAGCCTGCGCGTCCGGAGCCTGTGCTCCACAGCGGGAGAGGCCACAACGGTGAGAGGCCCGCGTACGGCAAAAAAAAAAAAAAAAAATTTCTAGTTTGAAAAAAAAAGTCTATAGGCCATGATAAGAATCAGCAATAAAATGAAGGTATGTGCAGGCTCAAACGAATCTTTTTTCTGTTTTTCAAAATATGGACTCTATTTTATTTTTTGAAGAATATAAATAAATGTCCCACAAATATTTATTGAACATCTTTTTCAAAAGTGGAGGTATAACTGACATACAACATTGTATTAGTTTCAGGTGTACAAATTGTCTGGTGTGTTATGCCTGAATTATAAAGTGTGCACTGCAAGACTTAACTGGTTCAGCAGTCTTCCAGGTTCTACTTACACAGTTCACCTAAATCTGTATGATTTGTATCAAATCTGAATGATTTGATATTTGCATATATTGTGAAATGATCGCCACAGTTAAGTCTAGTTAACATCTGTCATCATACAGAGTCATAGAATATTTTTCCTTGTGATGAGAACTTTTAAGATTTTCTCTCTTAGCAACTTTCAAATATGCAATATAGTATTATTAACTATAGTTGCCACGCTGTACATTACGTCCCCATGATTTATATTATAACTGTAAACTTGTACCTTTTGACTCCCTTCACCCATTTTGCCCCCCTTTCCTCCACCTCTGGAAACCACCAACCTGTCAAATGTCTATCATTTCCTTCCACATACCCTTAATACTTCTTACTCCAATATCCCTAAGTGTTTGTGTCAAAAATACGTAGTTGTTTAAGATACCAAGTTTAAAAGTCAAAAACAAAACGGGAAATATCTACCTTCCACTCTTTGTAATCTATTTTCTTTTTGTTTATTTGGGAGTTTTTTATTATGCAAGTTTTCAAATAAACAAAAAAAATCTAAAGAACAGTAATAAGACTACCCATAAAAAATTCACCTAGATTCAACAACTGTGAACATTTTGACCATATTTTCTTTATCTGCATAACAAAATATATATTATAACTGTTAAAATTTTGCTGAACTATTTGAAAGTAAGCTGCAAACATCATGGCACGTCATACATTTTCCTACCATGATCACATATAATAAAATTAACAGCAATTTGATACCATCTCATATCCAATCCACATTGAAAATTTCCAAGAATGTTTTCTATAGGTTTTTCCTTTTTTGGAACTGATGTAATAAAGGCTCACACATCACATTTGGTGGTATTGTCTCTTTAGTCTCTCTTTTAAATCTAGAAGTCCTCCTCCCCACCTACCCCCGCCAAACATTGACTTTTTATAGGAACAAAAACAGATGTCTTATAAAATGTCCCACATCTTGGATATGGCTGCTTCAGACTTAGTCCAAACTGAGACGTGCAGTAAGTATGAAATACCCAGATTTGAGGACTTAGTATGACAAAGAGAATGTAAACCCTCTTGTTAATAATTCTGTTTACATGTATAAATGATAATATTTTGTATATACTTGGATCCCTAAAATACATTTTCAAAGTTAATTTCACCTGTTTCTTTTTACTTTTTAAATGTTGCTATTAGAAACTTAATAATTACAAATGTGGTTCACATTATATTTCTATTGGACAGCATTAGTCTGGAAGCTTGATTGGATTCACTGAATGATTTGCAAACCTACTTCGTGGTGGTGCCGTGTCACTAAAGTCTATTCCACCATGAGCCAGGCCAGGTCTGATCATTTGGTTAAGGTTCCTAACTGCAAAATCTCTCCACTGGAAAACCACACTTTCCTTTTTCCAATTAAAAATTGTGGCTAATTCTTAGATTCAGCCTTTCTCTGAGTGCTTTAGGATCCATTAACAATCCTTGCCTGAATCAATTGTAACAATGCAGGTTTCAATATGATAGCTGGCATTTTTCTGTAAAGAAGTTTCTCTCTCTCTCTCTCTCTACTTGTCTCACCCTTAGTTTTCCTCCTCCTCTCATAATTTTATTAAGAATTCATTTATTCAGTATTTCACAGTCGAGTACAGTCATTATTCTTTTTGACGCTCAAACTGTCCCAGATTCGGCTAGTGGAAGCCCCTTCAAGCCAGCACCTGTGTCCTTTTTGACAACCGCCCTGAACTCCACTAACTGTTTTCAGGTACTACAAAGCTACTCCAGGCTCAGACTCAATTGGTATTAGCCCTTTCTCTATGGGGCGCAGATTCTTTTTGTAATGAACGATATTGAGAAACCAAGATCTGACACTAAGTGTGCAATTTGCCACTATTCCTTTCAGTGGACAGAAACTGAACTATTTAAAAAAATGATGAAATCACACTGAAGTTTCTAATTCAAATTTAACATTGTTTTTAAAAAGCTTATTTAATGACCACATTTGTATTCCTTTTCTTTTACACTGAAAAGCTTGGTTTCTAGTAATATTAATATATTTACTAAATTGTTTTATTTTACAATTTATTACTAACAAAAAGCTTATTGAGCAAAATTTTAAATTTCATGTACAGACACTGCACTGTGATCAAAATTCACTTAAGATAGTTATCTTCCCTATGTGGTTACAGTACCAACTCTATATATAATCAGGATAATTTCACACCATTCTAGTAACTTCTTTGGTAGTACACTCCTCTCACAATTTCTTCTACAAGGGTCAGCTATTCATTGCCTTAAAATTAAAAAAATGCTTAAATGCAGTTGTGGCCTTCTGTCCCATCTGCCATGCCACACACATGCAATGTTTATGTGACTGTTTTACCAGAAGGAACGAAGGACCACAAAGCAGAACACAAGAAGCACATGGTTCAGGCTCGTCGGCGACCAACATCACTTGTAAAGCAGGTTATAAAACACCGAAAAGAAAATGAGCACTGGCCTGTATGGGACCGGAAAGCTGAGGTAGAAGCTCACCATGCAAACGCTGTGCTCAACTCAGCCAGCGAACTTCTGCAGCTGCTTGCATTTAAGATAAACAGCAGCAGCAGCAGCAGCAGCTGATCATTTATTTCAGTGCTGAAGGCTAGAAACAAATTTCCCAAATCTCTCAAGCCATGTAAAGTTTGAAAATGAAACAGACTACCTTTTCTTGTCCTTTTTCAAGAAGTTCTCCCCCCCTGCACTTCCACTGCGGCCTTCTTCAAGATCCATCGCGACCTGAGGAGAAACCACAACGGATTAGCCAAACGCAAGATCCGCGGAAGGCAGAGGTGAGGCTGAACTTGAGTCCCGCGCGAGGAACGGAAGGGCGGAGCGCTCGCCCTGATGCTCCAGCCGCTCGCAGGCGCGATGGTCCCCGCAGAAACTTGCCTCCGCGCCCAGCATCCAGCCTCCGCAGGCGAGCAGAGTTGCAGGGGTGCGGCGCGGCCCGGACTTCGCCCGCCTCCACTGCGGCTCTGCCTCCCGGTGGTTCGCCTCGCCGTCCACCAGCCCGCAGGCTCGGAGCCCGGCTTCCGACACCGCGCTGTCTCTGCGGGCTCTGGGCAGCAAACTCCAGGACGCGTGGCTAGCACCGAAAACTAGGGGCTGGGGTGCCCCAGGAGCTCCCCGACTGAGAATAAGTCTCACCTCACTTGGTCCCCTTGGACTTGCCAAGTGGAATCTCCCCCTCCCTCTCTTCCGAAGCCCTCTTCCCACAGGGACCAAGCTCAAGAAATTGGAGAGCGCACCCTTCCCGCGAACCGTCTCCCTCTAGTCCCCAGCCTCGCGCTTCCCTACCTCGGGCTTTCTCTTGGAACGTCCACTAAGACGTGAATCTTGGAAGAAGAGACTCAGACTCCAGCGGAAAGTCGCGACGGCGGATGCGAGCAACGGCCGCCGCCGCCGCCGCCGAGCCTAAAGGAGCCGCTACGCGAATGCGCACGGGCTTCCGGTGGCTAAGGGAGCGAGGAGGGAGCGCGCAGACCACACCCTAGTGCTCCGCTCCCCAGCCAATCAGCCGGACCCGCTCGGGACCGCTCGATTGAACGCAGATTGCTCGGCAAGTTACGAAACTGGTTGGAATTGCTAGAGGAATGTCCTCGCTTCTGTTGCCCCTCAGCAAAAGGACGAGTAGAGGAACGCTTATCAGCTGACTCATCAAGGACTTGCACATTCATAGGGTCCTGTCTGTACAATTCCAAACAAGTCTTCATATCCACCGAAGTATGTGTAGATAGATAGATATAAATGTGAATATACAATTCGCTCCTGGTGGCTCGAGAAGATACTACTGCCCATTCTGTAGTTAAAACGAGTTAAAATTCCCTTCCAAGCAGCACCTTTAAAAAGGCCAGGTGAAATTTTTCTGCAGGTCTTTCTTCAGTATGTTAGACAGTTTCTAAGGTGTATCTGTTCATGTTTTATTTGAAGAGAAATAGAAAGAAGTAGGAAGACTTTTTAAAAAAATCATATAAGTCGAAACGGACATTTCAGGGTGGAAATGTAATTAAAAGAATGTTATCTGTTCGGATTGTAGCCATCAGGGGAATGCCCATGTTTTTCTCAAGGCGTTTTAAAACTCTTATATTTTAATTCGGATTCTTAAAGTTTCGTGTATTTTAGCATATTACGTTAGTGGTAATTTAATTCCATATTTACTGTTACCATTTACAGTTTTTTTCTGGTCCTCTCTTTTCCTCAAGTTGTTGAAAAGTGCAATCTTCACAATTCAAATTCATAAAGCAGCGTTAACTCACATCGGAGCTTTACATACTTATCAACCCAGGGGAAATGGATGTTGTAACTTTTTGTCTGCGGTCTCCAAGTTACAGGAGTTACTCTCAGCTCGCTGCAAAAGTGTAAAAGACGAAAATCCCTTTATTTTTTACTGCATAGTGTATTTTCCGCACTTTAAGTAACTCATACTTCAAAGCCATAATTTTCTTTCCATCCTTTATTCTAGATTTTCCTTGCCTTGATTTTTTTTTCTTAGCCATGCGATAAGGTTTCTTTCTTTACCAACTGTTAATTAGATCCTCTAACAAGCCACTCATTTTCTCTGTGTTCTAATTGTATATGTATGTGTACAGCATTGGCCCAACTATTTAAAGGTGTAACACTAACCCTGTGTTCCACCTGGGGCAAATGTATGAAGAGTTCCTCTTTCTCCCACGTGTTTTTAATCTGATTCATGCCTCTGCTCTTTGTTTCCAGTTCTGTTTTACCTTGTCCCACCTTTAGTTTATGTGATCTTGTTATATATTTTGTACCCTTGAAAATAAATGCCCCCTAAATCCTCCCTAAAACAATGCAGGATTTTTTTTTAATTCAAGTATAGTTGATTTACAATGTTGTGTTAGTTTCAGGTGTACAGTAAAGTGATTCCATTACAGTTATATATATATATTCTTTTTCAGATTCTTTTCCATTATAGGTTATTACAAGATGTAGAATATACCTCCCTGTGCTATACAGTAGGTCTTCATTGTTTAGTTTATATATAACAGTGTGTATGTTAATCCCAAACTCCTAGTTTATCTCTCCCCCCTTCCCCCTTGGTAACTATAAGTTTGTTTTCTATGTCTGTGAGTCTATTTCTGTTTTGTAAATAAGTTCACTTGTATCATTTTTTTAGACTCTACATAAAAGTGATATGACATTTGTCTTTGTCTGACTTACTTCACTTAGTATGATAATCTCTAGGTCCATCCATGTTGCTGCAAATGGCATTATTTCATTGTTTTTTTTTATGGCTAACAGGATTTTTTTTAAGTATTACGTATATTATGCTGATTGCACTATTTCTACAGGCTTGAGCTTCAAGTGAAAATCTCTATCAAGGACATACATAGTTTAAGGATCATAATAGCCCAGAGAATTTTTAGTAAAGCTCTGTCTTTCTACTATATATAGATGTTATGTATATATTTTAGTTGCTTTGCTCCACCGACATGAAGATATGGACATAAAATACAATGGACCTAAAACAGTGGACAGTTCTAGCTTCTCCCAAGCCATAGGCCTGGACTTTAAAGACTTTGACTCCTGTCTCACATTACTGCCAGCCACTCCTGGTAATATCAAACAGCTGGACTAGGCACGTCCTCTATGAGCCTCATTAATTTCAGGTGAAACCCCTTAGAAAGCAGCCCCTTTGCAAGTCTTGACTCACACACCTTCACACAAGCAGCTATTTTTCCTTTTTGAAGTGTGCTTCCCCATAATTCTGTACCTTCCTGCCCTCCACTGGCAAGTAATCCTTTCACCAACTTGTCTGTACTCTCCCAACACTCAAGATTTGCATCCCTGCTGTGGTCTATTCTGTACGTACCTGTGGGAATAATAATAACTAACCTTGAGTAAGCACTGGCCGTGTACTAGGAATTTTCCCAAGCACTTGAAAGAGATTAACTCATTTAATCCCCACAATTATCCTCTGACGTATGTACTATTATTGTTACTAACATTTTACAGTGAAAGAAACAGGTTGACATTGTGTGCCCAAAGTCACACAGCTGGTAAGCAGCTGACCCAGGACTTGAAAGCAGTCCAGCTCCCAGCACTCATAAATACACTCTTAACCACTCCTACACCATGGTACATTACTATAGTACAGTCTCATACACTGCCTTTTCGAGCCTCCCACCCCACCCTGTGAAACATTTGTATCTTATGACTCCATCTTAGAAATCCTGCAATGGCTCCTTAATCTGAACTATATCATATCTGAGAGTTTCCCCTTGGCTTTTTTTTGTTTGTTTGTTTTTGCGGTACGCGGGGCTCTCACTGCTGTGGCCTCTCCCATCGCGGAGCACAGGATCCGGACGTGCAGGCTCAGCGGCCATGTCTCACGGGCCCAGCCGCTCCGCGGCATGTGGGATCTTCCCGGAACGGGGCACGAACCCGTGTCCCCTGCATTGGCAGCACACTCTCTCTCTCTCTCTCTCTCTCTATCTTCATTCACCTCACTTCCATACACTCTCTCCCTTGCCCCCAACACATCCATGGGTGTTCACTCCATTTCAGCCCAACTCACCTCTCAGATGATTTGCTCTTTCTTTCACTCTGTGCTTTTCCACATGTAAATCTTTAAATTAATTTACAGCAATTTTCTTTTTTGGTACCTGACTCCACAAACAACCTGGACTTACATTTGAGTACTACTTCTGCTGTTTTTGCTGTGTCAGTTTGAACAGGTTACTTAACTTTCCAGTCCCTGAGTTGCCTCTTTGGTAAAAAGAAAATAGTAGTGGTACCTCATAGAGTTATTGCAAAATTAAGTGATTTGTGTATTTAAAAGGCTTGTACAGTGCCTCAAATATGTTAAACACCCAACAATTGCTATATATTAGTAATAAAATCCCCTTCTCAGTCTATTTTTGCCCTTCCTTGGCACTCATGTATGTACCTACATTTATTTATTCCCTGTTACTTTCAAAGGAGCAAAAGAGGGGAAAAAACAGTACCTAAATAATAAAGAAAATGAGTGAATACAGTATCATTTCACACCTTTATTGCCACTTTCCCCAGCATCTGTCACCACAAATATTGCAATAACTTCAAAAATGGTCTCTATTTCTACCTTTACCCCTATTTTGTTTTCATCTCCCGTGTGCTGTTGATTCAGAAGAAACAGGAAAATGTGCTCCATAAAAACAAAGATGTAAATCGAGGAAAAGAAACTCAAGAAATCCCAAAAATGCACAATTCAATACCTTTACCCTCTTTTTTTTTTTTTTTGTGGTACACAGGCTTCTCACTGTTGTGGCTTCTCCCGTTGCGGAGCATAGGCTCTGGACGCGCAGGCTCAGCGGCCATGGCTCACGGGCCCAGCCGCTCTGCGGCATGTGGGATCTTCCCGGACCAGGGCATGAACCCATATCCCCTGCATCGGCAGGCGGACTCTCAACCACTGCGCCACCAGGGAAGCCCCATACCTTTACCCTCTTTAACAGTCCCTCTCCACCTTCCCCTCCCCAGGGTCTATTGTTAAGAGTAGGTGAAGTCATCAACAAAATACTAGCAAACAGAATCCAACAGCACATTAAAAGGATCATACACCATGATCAAGTGGGGTTTATTCCAGGAATGCAAGGATTCTTCAATATACGCAAATCTATCAATGTGATAAACCATATTAACAAATTGAAGGAGAAAAACCATATGATCATCTCAATAGATGCAGAGAAAGCTTTTGACAAAATTCAACACCCATTTATGATAAAAACCCTGCAGAAAGTAGGCATAGAGGGAACTTTCCTCAACATAATAAAGGCCATATATGACAAGCCCACAGCAAACATCATCCTCAATGGTGAAAAACTGAAAGCATTTCCACTAAGATCAGGAACAAGACAAGGTTGCCCACTCTCACCACTATTATTCAACATTGTTTTGGAAGTTTTAGCCACAGCAATCAGAGAAGAAAAGGAAATAAAAGGAATCCAAATTGGAAAAGAAGAAGTAAAGCTGTCACTGTTTGCAGATGACATGATCCTATACATAGAGAACCCTAAAGGTGCTACCAGAAAACTACTAGAGCTAATCAATGAATTTGGTAAAGTGGCAGGATACAAAATTAATGCACAGAAATCTCTGGCATTCCTATATACTAATGATGAAAAATCTGAAAGTGAAATCAAGAAAACACTCCCATTTACCATTGCAACAAAAAGAATAAAATATCTAGGAATAAACCTACCTAAGGAGACAAAAGACCTGTATGCAGAAAATTATAAGACACTGATGAAAGAAATTAAAGATGATATAAATAGATGGAGAGATATACCATGTTCTTGGATTGGAAGAATCAACATTGTGAAAATGACTCTACTACCCAAAGCGATCTATAGATTCAATGCAATCCCTATCAAACTACCACTGGCATTTTTCACAGAACTAGAACAAAAAATTTCACAATTTGTATGGAAAC